CCGATTCTAATGATACCAAGCACTAGGAAAACTGAGTTCAGAAAGTATCAAAACGAAGGCGGTTTTTGTTGCGGGCCTTGTGAAAGGTGGTATTTCGGGGGGCTAACTTGCTGTCTTTGGTATCATTCGAACAGTAAAATTCTACTCTCCAATATTTGCTATTGGGTTTTCAATATTAAGTAGCTTTGAAAAAGTTATAAGGGCTTAAACTTTTGGCGCGCTACGCCCGGCTCCTATGGACGCTTGTGCCCCTCCCGGCACACTGCCGTTTTTGGCCTGTTTGATTGGCCGTGGTCAGAGCAATGATAGTGGAGCGGCGTGATTCGTAGCTGTCAAAGGGATTGCCGTAGTTTTGTGCAGATGCAATAGCGATCGGTTTCGCAAGTTCAAAAACCCAGTCGGCGGCGACCAGCAAATTTTTGCTTCAAACAGCTCCCTCTACGACCACTTTAACGGAATATACGCAAAAGAAAGATCCTGATCCCTTGCAAGCAAACCGCATAACCAAATAAGCGAAAATCCCACTATTTTTCCATCTTTTTGTAGCGGGCTTCAATGTCAATGTCTTTTTTGCCCTCTTCGTGATCTCTCTGAAGGTAGAGCCGGAGATATGTGGACAGGTTGCCGGCGTCCTCCACGTGCGACTATAAATTGGTGACAAAAGAACGGAGATTGATACCGTCAGCTCGATGGTAATGAGACGCCGTCCAACGCCTTCGAAACCGGGCTCGCATTGATGGCGGATCGGCTTGTCGGCGTTTTCGTTGGCTGAAAGAGAAAACAACGTTAACTATAATACCAATTTTTTAAACTCCTTGCCTTTGCCATGCTTCTTATATGTCCAGAAATTCGTAACAAATTATGCGCGCTGCTTTACAGCACACTTTGAATAGACATGGTCTCTCTTTGACGTCATGTCACTGCGTCATTAATCATATGCATACCCAGCAATGCCTAAATGTGCGCTATCAGCCGAATAGCCAATTTCGGGGTTTCGGGCCAAATCAGGTTATTAAAACTAAAACTGTGACAGTTACGAAAACAATACATTTTTAATGCTATTGCTACAGCTTATTAGGCTCACTTTTGTGCTTTTATACACATAATATACCAGCCAATTTCAGCCGCTCGCGACTGCAAATCAGCTGGGCTTGGGGAACCCTGCATATCCCACGCCCCCACATCCTTTGGCGCTACTTTGGGCCACACTTTACTTTACCCTCCCCCCCAGCCGGAATGTTTTGGCTATGACTTTTTTATTTTACACTATTGTAGGCTCAAATTAAAATCCCATCATATTTTTTGAGGCTCTATCGAATGGCGTTACAAAAATCCCGACAAAATAAGCGTAAATACCGAAAACTTTGAGACCCTCGGGCTGTGTGGGAGCGGGGGGGTAAGCAAACTCTTACCCCACTTGGATCAATGCCCCCTTCCTGATAGCTCCAGTTCCAGTCAATTTCAAGGTTAAATTTAATAATTCAAAGGAAAATTTTTCTTGCTTTTTTATCAGCTGTGGGGTTTCTGCTCACGCTCTATCGGAATCCGAAGAGACCTAAGTTCTAGCTCTTTTCCCCTTCGAGTTGAATTCGGCGGCTGACAGACGGACAGAGAACACAGCAACACTGTTGCAGTTACCGTTAATTTTTACAAGAAAATCAATAAGGTACCATAGTCTTGGAACGCCATGGACAGGATCGTCGAAAGCAATAGCATATCCACTTTAGAAAACAAATTTCCAGGCAGTTCTGAGATGGCGACGAGCTAAAATAGTGGTTAATCATTTGGCCAACGGCAACGGCGGAGATATGGACATTTTTCTCTATTGTGCCCTGCTATGCCTCACCTTGATGTATCGGCTCTCGTTGTGCAGCACTGAGGTTGCAACGGGAAAATGGCCCTTTTTCACTTTGTCATGGAACGGCATTGGTTGCTAGAATTTAGACTCGAAACGTCCATTAAAACTCAACATTCCTTTTATCCAAGCTCAGTTTTCTACCAACTCACCTCGTGCTTCTGCAAAGGAAAAGCCTGGTGCCGTGCGTAGAAAGGCAACGTTTTAATGCCACGCGGAATGCCCTTGTGCTGTGTATCGCCCTTGACGATCAATAGACGGCCATCTCGGGCGTTCGGATTTTGGTAATCCTTCTAAACGTACTTTATTCTGAATTGCCCGGGCTGCAAACGGCAACTACCATAGTCTTAAGGGGGATAGCGCAGCAGCAATCTAATAACCCTATTATGGTGGAAGTGGAAATCCGTGTCGTGAGATAGCACAGCTTGCGGAGAATTGGCCATCCTGGGCATAGTCATGGCCAAAAAATTTTTTTTGCAAATTTTGATCTACGGGTTTCAATTTTATCGTGAGATAGCCCATCAAAGAGCACGATTTTTACACGGAAACATTAAAAACGCTTGCAACTTTTTAATCTGAGGGGTACCGCAGCTTTTGAAAACGGATTCGGAATCAACGAAAAATTCTGCACAAGGTGTGCTATCTAACGTACCGATTTTCCACTTCGACCATAAGAGAGTTACCGTAAGTGTTACTTAAATTGCTGAAATTTCGCAGATGTGACGCACTCGCGACTCCAAAAAGACAGGAAATCCAGTCAAATCTGGCAAAATTCCAGGAAAGCACGTAACATTGGATTTCTGCTTGCGCTATGCCATCAAAAACCGGCTAACAAGAGAAGTGTTTTTGACCCATGTCGCAAATTGCTAAATAATATACATAAATCGATATAGTATTGAAAATAAAGGTGATACTTTAACCTAAGTTTTTACGGAACGCCGAAGAGGAAGAAGCCGAATTTCGTTTTGCCCTTCTTTGCAATGGCTTCAGCTTGAACGCATGTGATCTAATACGTTGCATTTCAAAACAGGCCTGTTTTCGACTTTTTGAACTTTTTTTCTTGGCTAGTTTGTGCGCAGTGAAAACTTTATAGCGAAAACTGGCCGATCAGAGCTGACACAAAATACATGGTTGTAAGCAGATTTTTTTGCTCAATTTTCTATGCTAGTCGCATCGAGCGCCCAATCGGTCAGTTCTCGCAAATCCAGAGAAATCGTTTTATGTACGCGATACACCTATGTTCCTGCCATTTTCGAGCTTGCTCATTGATTAGAAAAATGCTCAACGTCTGAAATTCGGTCTAGGCACAAATTTTCACACAATTCGGCCAAGTAGCTTCTGAAATAATTTTTTGGTGTCGGAAACTTGAGCGAGCAGTTTAACCCCGAAAATTAAATTTTTAAACTTTGAAATTTATGCCACCCTACTAATTCAAACCTGTTTTTCAGATGGCATCAAAAAACCGAGTCGAAAAAACGGTGCCAAGCCATAATGGGGGTTGGTCGGAAACCTCACCTTTATTTTCATTTTCTATCGATTCATGTACAGGGCGTACCAAAAACGAACCGTCTGGCATTTCGCCGTGTTACATCCAATCGGTCCCGAAATTGGACCAGGCTTTGTTACAGACCCTAAATAACAACAATCCTGACTTATAGCCCCGTAACTATAGTATTTCCCGAGTTATAAAAAATAAACTTTATTTTCTCATTTTCGTAGGATTTCCGTGGAATTAGACCCCCTTAAACATTAATTGATTCGGTAAGCCTTCGTTAGCTAAAAATGTTTTTCCGGACTCAAATTAATCAAATAAGCCTCGATTTAAGCGATTTTACAACGCAAAATTAGCGAAGTTCTTAAAGCGCACGTTCAGGGAGGGGCCGTGTACTCGGCCCAACGTGTACACCCTATGGACGTAGGGACCGCGCGCACTGCCTGCCCGTGCTGTGACAGGCCATTCCCCTACTTTGCGGCGTAGGGCGCTCCTCACCCCCTCGCCAGGTTGTAGCTGTGGCTGACTGGTATCCATCCGCGCCTCCCGAGCTGGGGGCCCGGGTTCGACCCCCGGCCCCGGCAAAAACTTTGCTTTTTTCCAAAAAAACGTCCCTGAACGTGCTCTTTAAGCAAAATTAGGGATTCGTAGCCGGGCGTCGGTGCAAATCGATGCAAAGTCCAAAAAGCTAGCCGAAAAAAAAACAGTTTAGAATTGGGGAAAACAGTATTTTCGTCATAACTCTAAACCTACTGTAGTTATGGGGGCTATAACTCAGGATTGTTGTTATTTAGGGTCTGGTACACATCTCATCCAATTTTGGGACCGATTCAATGTAACACGGCGAAATGCCAGATGGTTCGTTTTTTAGACACCCTGTATGTTGAGTGGCGATTTGCAAAGTAATTTAAAGACCGCCAGAATGATGAAATTCCGTTGAGAGCAAGAAAGTTGCGCACCGGGCGGGGGTCGAACCCGCGATGGTTCGCTCCACAGTCCGACGTGCTAGCCACTATACCACAGGGCCAAGTGGGGAAGGGAGTCAGAGGTGCCCCAAACCCCAGAGGGTCTTTTCCCAATACGGAACACCACTAATGACGACCCTCTCTGCGCGTTCTTGGGGGCATCACCCTCGGGGTGACAGTGCGCGTTCCATCGTTCTGGTAGTCTTTAAAGGCGATTGACCTGGCCGGGGCCTGCCGGTTTTCCAACGACAATCACGGAAGTCAGTCGCGTGAAGGTGTTTTGAAATAACTCTTTCCACCACACTTCTGGCTTCGCCGCCAACTCGCTCCAGTACGGCGCCTGCAAAACTTTTCAAATTTTTTTTTGTAGTACCTCATCCAAAGATGCCAAAATTGCCATGTCATCCCATCCTTCCAAAATTCCCTTCGCCACAGTATTCACGAGCCGCTCGTGAGGGCTGTCCTGGATATTAAACGTCAGTATTTTAATTGTAATAATAAGTCGAGCACCTCTTGGTCATATTCGTATGACGAGGGCTCGATACATTTGGCGATCGCATCCATCTTGGGGAATCCGAGGCCGCGGAGCCTAATTAAATATATAGCGAATCAAGTTTTCTATTTTACGCGGCAGTGACTTGAGCGATTGCGTCATCTTGGCAGTCCACGACTAGGCTGAAGCGACCAAATAACTAAAAGACTGGCATAGTCGCTCCAAATGTTTCGCTTACCTGGTTAGTGCCGACGTTTCCATCGGTACCGGCAGCTGTAAATAGACTTATCTTTAGCTTGACTTTTGTTTGATACCGTCCATTAGTTCCTGTGCAACAGCATCACACAATACGCCAACGCCAAGCCGCTGCAAATGGTCGCCGTCCCGGTGTGATTTCCTGAATAAAAAAAACTGCGGAACGCGTGTTAAAGGTACCAGGTACGGCTGACTGATGAGGTCTTGCTGCCAGACACAACGCGTTGGACGTGTTCGAGGAGACCTTCTTCTGGCTTGCGCGCTGTCGTGAATCGGGGCCGGATGGGATGATCAGACGACTTTCTATATTTCCGCAAAATCTGAAAGCAGAGAGTATATATCATATATCTGGTAGCGAGGCGCAATTCGAAAATCTTTGATGGGATATACAGCCGTACCCCGTCAATAGCATCCTTCACCGCCGATTTTTCGTATTGCCCAACAAGGATAAACGACATATTGGCCGGTGTGTAGTGGGTGCGATGTATTTTGTGTATCTTAATTCATAATAAGTATAAGCTATAAGGCGAGCAGACTTCGGCGGTGAGATCTCGAGCCAAAGACGCCTTCACCAGTTCATCTACTGCGCCGGACGGGTTCTCGGAGAAGTTGAAGTCCTTGCCAAACAGCAATTTTGCGGCGGCACTGAGACAACCCGTTATGTACAACATTTATTATATACATTATACTCGGTAAAGGTTCATTAACGGGGGAAATAACGGTGGGTGGAAACCATTTTTCCCCTATGTGGACCTGCCGTGACAATTCAAGCATGACATCGGATAGAGCCTCAAAAATATACTAAGAAAATTAATTTGAGCCCGAAATCATATACTATAAATCCTACTATATATAAAAAAATAGTGTCTGTGTGTGTGTGTGTGTATGACACTTTGCATGCAACTTCCGTCAGCGTGTCCGGAGGATATCTCGATAGGGGATGAATTGTTAGGTATGTATGATACGTCATTAGGTGCGTAATGGCTCTGGGATGACTGCAAGCTTATCAGATTTTGCAAATTATGCTATTTTCGACATTAAATTTAGGTTTTTGAGAAATTTTCGGGCATCCTCTTTGTTAGGAAACAATTTGCATACGCCGGAAGTGGTGGTGGTCTATATTAAGGGGCAGAGGGAGCGTTTTTCATTATTTTTTCATCGCAGCCCGGGCGAATTATGCTAAGTGAAGAATATCATGGGCCCAAACGGGGCCAGGGTTGAAAAGTCGCGTAGCGGCTTTTCAACCCTGGTTAGTTATGAAAAAAACAAAACCATCCGGCTGGTCATGAAGTGTAAGCATAATGTGATTATGATTTTCGGCGTTTTAAGCTTTTTCGTTGGGATTTCATTAGAACCATCGGATAGAGCGTGAAAAATTATACTAAGAGATTTAATTTCAGCCCGAAATACCACAATTTAAAATTATTACTTTCATAAGCTAAAATTTAATCAATCAATTACAAACGCGTGAGTTTTTTTTTGGGCTGAAATTAAATCTCATAGTATAATTTTCGACGCTCTATCCGATGGCGTTTTCAAAAACGCAGGATATTTTTGATAAATACAAAATAGTTTCCACCCCCGTTATTTGTCCCCCCCCCCGTTAAGCAACCTTTACCGAAAAATAGAATCTGCAGCTAGTTCCCCACCAAGGTCAAAGGACTTCCTTCGAACCATACGTTAAAAAAACTTACGTTTCCATGCGCAACGTGCCTTGTCGGAGCCGCAGATCTTCGATCTCATTGAAGAGCACCCCCGACCACCGTTTCTTAGAAGAGATCCCGATGATTTCCGTTCGCAGATCAGACAGCGTGAAAACCGGGGGTTCAAGTAGCTGGACAAGCCAGTGCTCCAATATGGCCAGCAGTCCATCCTCATGTGTCTGGACACAAGGTCATCTCCTCTATTAAATGCAAACATACGGCCAACAGATTGTAGGCGATGTAGCCGTTGAAGTTGGTGAGCGCCTCGCGTCGAATTTCACATCTAAAGAGGGTTCCAGGACCATTAAGCAGTTCACCGGGCAAGCACATGGTGGAGCAATTCATGGCTTCCTTTCGCGTTGGAGTGACTGGATTTATGTACCAACAAGTGCTCAAGGATGTGGTGAATGCCCACGGAAGACTTGCTTTCCGCTCCTGAAGAAATGCTTTTCAAAGATATTCATAAAAATCATCGAAAAATCCATCGACCTACCAAAAATGACCGAGAGTACCGGAGACTTGTTGGGCTTGGGGACGAATATTATACAACCGCCAGCCTCGGTATGAGCAATAGTCGCCTAAAAGAATAATTTCAATTGTCTGATCAATAAATAAATACCTCTGATTCGGGATGCGGCTCAACCATCTTTTTCGTTGTTCCCTCTGCTGCCTTCGCCATGACTTCCCCTTGTCCTATCTCCGCCGCCTTTGCTGGCTTCGCTGCTGCTTCCTTCTTGCCTTTTCTTCCTTAACAATAACAAGTTTCGTGATAGTTAACAAACGAATTGTTGGATAGGTGGGTATAGCTACCTTTGGCACGGCGTCTGATGGCCTTGGATGGCGATCGCTCGTTGGAATCGGATCGGGTAGTCCTGCCTGCCGAACCTGCCGAACTCGTCGAAGCCGAACGCGCTGCTTTCACTTTATTGGCATCTTCCGGTTCTTCAGAGGGGACAAGCACAACGTTCCGAATCGATTCTCCCATCCGAATGCCCGTTTGCAGGAGCTCTTAATAAAATTATTTTTGAAGTTTCTAATACTGATGATACCTGGGTGGTCGGGACGTCTTCCCATGACTAGCTCCCAGAGCAGTCGTTCCCTCCAATGCGGAATATCCGTCGCGCTGGCCGATGGAACACATCCTCGAATGAGGGCATCAGCGTAAATGCATGCCCAAACACCGCAGCTGTTGCCGTCATATTGGTCTCTCCTCTAAAGAATCTCATAATAATCGAAGAACAATAACTTCAAGGAGTTCAGCTAGTTATGGTTGAATTACTAACCCTTGTTTATTCCAATCCCGTATATCATCTAAATTTACTGACCTGAATGCAGGTTAGGCTCCATTTTTTGCCGGGCCAGGCGTCTTCGAGCCTCTCACTGGCCTTTTGGAAACGTTCCAGGTACTCCGAGTGATTGCCCTTCGCATAAGTCGAATCCCACAGCGTGAGTTTTTGCTTGGATGGTTCGACCACAAATAGCCACCAGTGTGCCCCGTCACACTGAGGCCAAAGGAATTTTGATTCCACATCATCCAGATGATCTTGTGGAAAACTAAAACAGAAAATCTAGATAGCTCCGAAAAGTTTACAATTCGGCGGACTGCAAGAACGTGGACGTCAAGGCGCGATACTTGATCGTTTGTTGACTGTTAACTAGCAATTGAACGTAGGCGTCGACGACGTCGTCGAATAGGTGGGCATCACCTAGAAAACAAGAAATAAAAATATATCTTATCTAAGCAATAAAATAGGATGGAATTCTGGTATATTCTGGACAAAAGGCGAATATTCGGAAAACTAAGTAGCCGGAATCTTACCACCAATTTGACTCCAATCGAAGTCAATAGCATTTTGGACGGTTTCCGGTCGATTGTCGAGTTCGGGTCTCAATTCTTCGATCAACTTGTTCCAACGTGCCGCTCTTTCTGGAAAGGCCAAACATCGACGCGAATCAAATTTAAGATCTTCGCAAGTCTTAAAATGTTCTTCAAATTAACTGGTTCATTAGCGGGGGGGGGGGAAGGTCGAATCCTTAAAGGACCGCCAATTGTTCTATTTGGGAAAGGGAATGGGGATCAAGCTTGACCTCCCCCCCCACTAACGAACAAGGACCGATTAACCTTTACCGCTGGAGTATGATGTATTTTCACTATCGTCAGGTATCGGAGGAGTATCCATACCGTATGCCAATTAGCCTCCGAGCCACCAAATATAACCCTCTTTCTCTTACATCTCTCACGCTCTCTCCCTCACTCTCTCTCCCTCTCGCTCTCTCGCGCACTCTCTCTCACTCTCTTTCTCTCTCGCTCGCTCACTCGCTCTCTCACTCACTCTCTCGCTCTCTCGCTCTCTCGTGCAATCTCTCTCTCGCTCACTCTCTTTCTCTCCATCTCTCTTCGCTCTCTCGCTCAAATATAATTGCTGAGAGAAATGACTGACCATGACGGGGCCTTTGCCCAGCCCAAAGCCATCTCTTGACCACGCGCATCCCCGGCATCGCAGCGTTCATAACCTGCAAAATGAAGAGCGCGTCGAATGAGATGTTTGGCAAATGACTTACTTCTTCACTGTTCAGTCTGTACATAACATCGCCGTCCCATTCAACATAGACTGACCGCTCGTCTTCTTCCTCCACTGGCCTTGCAACGTTTTTGACCAGCTGCGGACGGTCAAGCCTAAACAGGCAAATTGAAACAAGTGAATTTTAATAAAGACGTTTCGAAATCCTGCTCTCTCGCTCTCTCGCTCACTCTCTCGCTCTCTCACGCACTCTCTCTCTCTCGCTTTCTCGCTCTCTCGTGCACTCTCTCTCTCGCTCACCCTCTTTCTCTTACATTTCTCACGCTCTCTCCCTCACTCTCTCTCCCTCTCGCTCTCTCGCGCACTCTCTCTCTCATTATCTTTCTCTCTCGCTCACTCGCTCGCTCTCTCACTCACTCTCTCGCTCTCTCGCTCTCTCGTGCAATCTCTCTCTCGCTCACTCTCTTTCTCTCCATCTCTCTCTCGCTCTCTCGCTCTTTCTCTCGCTCTCTCCCCCACTCTCTCTCTCTCTCTCTCTCTCTCTCTCTCTCTATCTCTGTCTCAGGGTTTATTAACAATAGCTAAAGGTTCACCGGCAGTTGTTGCGATCATTGGCCCCAAACTCGACGATGTGCGTTGGTTCCATTATCAACGGAGACCGCTAAATTTAAGTTTTTTCAAATCTATAAAAGGCTTCTGTCATTTTGGGTAGGAAGTTTCGAATCGGAAGCATAGAACCCTAAGGATCTCTTATAACACAAAGTCGCGAAAATTCCTGTGGGGGTCGGCGATACAGATCCTTAAAGCCGTCCAGAACTTCTTTCTATACCGTGTGTCCAGATCCTTTTCGGTTCCGAATGATTCTAATTTCATTTTTATGAATCAATAACTCACATAAGTGACACTGGCGAGCGGCTCGGCAGTCAGTTCGCTTGGAGAAGGAGTCGGAGGCGCCGAAGAGGAGTGCGGAGATGACTTCTGAAATGTGTCCATTTATTTAATTCTCCGAATGCACTTTTCATAATATCAACTTAAAGCTGACGGTAAGCAACTGGCACGTACACACCTATTAACCTAAAGATACTAGAAAAAAGACAAACGCATGTGTTCTTAGCTGCACTATACGTTCAGATACCCTATACATAGTGTATATAAAAAAGTGCCTAAGTTTATCCCCTATGCCGATAATTTAACCTGATTCCTTCGATTTTTGAGTACGCTACTTTCCTATTGACGTTTGCTACCAAATTGTGGTAAAATGAAAGTTGTGCGTTCTTGGGCGCGTGATGGCAAAACTCTGATTTTTGGCCTTTGTTGGCATTTGTAAAATTTTTAAGCTCTAGTTCGTTTTATACAAACAAATCAAATTTTTTCAATAAGGGTAAAATTTTTTTCCGCTAATGGCAGCTTAAAATAGCTTTAAACGCAGTGTCAAGCATGAGCTTCACCTTATATACGTTTTTTTTGGTTCGTGAGTGCACATTAGAGAAAATTTTTCGGCGGGGGTTATATTAGAGGGGGGTAACGGGGGAAAATACGGCATTCGTATGATTATAGTCCTAGGTAGGCTAATTGTAGTAATTACTTGATTGCAAGTCCTATTAATTGTAGACAAGATCCATACATATCCAAATCGTCCTCTATAAGCCGTGCCGCTTATCAACACCGATTCGGCAGATCTCGAGCTGGGATGCTGAAAATTGGGCCATAAATAGGGCCAGTGAAGGCCGGTAACCATTCATAAAATTGTTTATGTACCAGCCGTCTAGAGCCTGACACCAAAAGCAGACCCATTGCGGTTGCAAGCGGCTCGACTTCATGCTACCCCTCCGCATCCCCCGCGCTCCATCTGGCTCACTATGCCCTCAACCTTGTATTTCCGCCAAATTTCAAAATTGGTTTTCCCCCCGAAATGTCATATTTGAGTTCAGATTTTGATCATGTTTTGCTGAAAATTTCAGGATGATTTGACCTGAAACCGTTGAAAACTAATTGTAAGAACTCTAGCTCCTTTCCCTCTTCGAGTTGAATTCGAATTCGAAGTTGAAGTTGAAGCTGAATTTGGCTTTATCGAAGACCCAGAAAAATCATTATCGTTGACGCCATTTTATATTGGATCGGTGATGTAAATGAGGCAAGTGATCACGAAAAAACTGACCAGCTTGACGGCAGACAGGCCGCCGAGAACGTCGCGGGATCGGAGAGGTGGCAAGGAGAAGTCACGCCTGAAGGTTCAATTTTCTCACTTTCCAGATCAAATTCCAGACAGAGGGATCAAGAGCTACGTATTAGAGGGCCATGTTTTTTATTGGGAAATCCTATAAAAAGTCGGAAAAGAAACACACCGGCCCCGTTCTGATACGTTGCGAGCCCAGCCAACCGGAGCCCTGGCGAGCCCGCCAGAACGTCCGGTTGGCTGTGCGATTTGGGCGTCGTTTGCTTCCTGTGCAGCAATGTTTTTGTACTTTCCTCGTGTTGAATGGACGAGGGAATGGAGGCGAGAATCTGAAATTGTTGACTATCACTTGATAATTTGCAAATTGCCTAATACACTCGGTCAAATAAGTATATAATCCTGCGTTTTTGCCGATTTTTTTTGTCTAATGAACCGTTCGCAACGCAAAAATATTACCGTAGTCTTTAATGGATATTAGAAAACTGTGTGCAAAGTATGAAGGAGCACAGATAACTTTTTTTAAAGTTTTTTTTTTATCTTCAGGCATTATAGGAAAGTTGATGATGGCATTTCTTTGTTAAAATAAGGTATCAGCGGGGCCAATTTTGATGCCTTCAGCTCGAAAAATTCTCCGTATTTCCCTTCTGCTTATTTATTGGAAATCTGGTTCCGAAACCGTCCTGAATCAAAAATTAATAAAATTTATTGTAGACCATCGGAGTGTCAAAAGGAAGCTTTCGACCAAAAAGCAAAAAGCAAAGCAAGTCTGCACCGGAATAAGCAAAAAGCCCAGCATGGCACAATTGTCCTATTCGTAGCCAATTTAGACCCACAGGCCCAGCGAGCTGTGTCGCCGTATGGAAGGTCATTTGAACTGACCCGCGGTATACTTATCCCCAGGCGGAAGGATCTTCTCGATTTCCGTAATGCCGTGTAGTACGTTGTCTCCCTGCTTGACTTCTTCAGTGGCCTTATAAAAAAGTTTAATTAAGCGGGCTTGTACGGGATGGGGGCTCTGGAGAACGGCGATTGTCTCCCCATTAGCTTTCCGAAGCCCGCAAAATCAGTATAACCTACCTCTTCTTTCTCGGACGTACGAGCATCCATTAACATTTTCTTGAACCCTTGTTTGGATCCCGAAGAAATTGCTTCCCTCTTCCTTTGAGATTGACGGCCGATCTTCCTCCTCCTGCTGAAAAAGAATTTTAGGCATGGATCTGCGCCTATGGGTGTATGTGTATGTGTGCTGATATTACTTTCGGGAGGCTTATTAAAAGCATTAGCCCTGATTCTCCAGGACCGAAGGGGAAGTCCACTTCCGATGGAACCTTATCAGGGCCGTAGCACCCCGATTTTTGTGGGGCGGGGGCAACTCCAAAAAGTCTATTTTGCTAAAAAGATATTTAAAAAAAAGAGGTTTGGGTTCGAAAAAAGAGCGAGATTCTCTGATGTAGCAAAAAGCGTGAAATTTCCTAACCCGGAAACATGAGAAAATTCGAAGGATCAACTAAAAATTGCTAGGTGCGGGCTCAGAGCGCAGTTTCAAACGCCATTCATTTCTTCGTCACCATGCCGTATCACGAAGTAACCACGCTGTTTGTCGCAAAAATGTGTTGAAGCCAGAGTCCGCCATGATTGTAAATAGCATAATTATGACAGTTATATTCGTTTCTATTTTTTTAAATATATTTTTAATAGAAGTCGAATTTCAGTGTGCCGAACATAAAAGAATGAAACTGCAAAAATTTAATCAGGTTTTCCTGGGTGTCTGCAATTTTGGTTGATCCTTCCAATTTTCTGATGATTCGGGGTTAGGGAATTTGACGCTTTCTGCTAAGCTCGCTCTTTTTTCGAACTCAAAACCCCTTTTTAAAGAATCCCTTTGAGAACCAATGTTTGCGCGATTTCGGATTTAATGAGCTAGGTCGCGCGCGTTTCGGCGAGAGGGAGGGCGAGCAGGGGGATAGCCCGAAGTCCGAAGCTGGCAAAATACAAGTTTACAAAGTTAAACCGGCTTTCTTAATTTTTGGGGCTCCTGAAGGCTAATTTGCATAATGCGAAAAATAGGAATTGCCTCATTGCCCCCAGTTGCACTCGCGAACGTGGTCGGGACAGGGGATGGGCTCAAGGACCCGGGCTCTCAGTAAGTCAAATTTCTCATGCAAAAGACGTATTCTAGCGCCTGATTTTAATTTTAACCAGCGCTGACCCCCGCTACGCGGTGGTTCAGCGCTGGTCCTCCCCGGCCACTTGAATTTTGAATTTGGATGCAACATTTGGCTGAATTCCTGGGCGGACAGACGGACATTAGATATTTATATATAGTAGATTATTTTAGTTGTAATAAGGTCAATATAGGATGCACCAACACAAAAACAGCTCCTGTAACTCAACGAAGAGACTGTATGACGATGAATGAGAAAAATAGCGATGGTATGACCATCGCGAACCGGATAGTTCACCAACGAGTTAGAGTGCCAAGTTTTTTATTGGGAAATCCTATAAAACGTCAGAAAAGAAACACACCGGCCCCCTCCTGATTCGTTGCGAGCCCAACCAACCGGAGCCCTGGCGAGCCCGCCAGAACGTCCGGTTGGCTGTTCGATTTGGGCGTCGTCGTCATCCTTTTCGGGGTTGGTGACGGCAACTCTCATTCTGTCAGTAAAGTGTTCTTGGTCAGGATGAAAATTCGGTTCGGGACCAAGCCGCAGAATTTTTTTCTGATTCCGAATCCGATTTCCAAACTTGCAGAAGAGTTCTGGTTTAAAAGGCGTGGAGGTTTTAACCGCTTATTTGCCGAAAACCGTGGAACTTAAGGCTCGATTATTTTGTTCTTCCGGGCTGATTTTCCCAAAATGAGTAACACCATCGTATGCAGAAAATTTTTCGACCACGAATGAGCTAAAGGGCACGTTCAGGGACGTTTTTTTGCAAAAAAAGCAAAGATTTTTGCCGCAGCCGGGGGACGAACCCGGGCCGCCCGCTCGAGAGACGCAGATGGATACCAGTCAGCCACAGCTACAAGCTGGCGAGGGGGTGAGGCGCGCCCCACGCCGCAAAGGAGGGGAATGGCCTGTCACAGTACGGGCAGGCAGTGCGCGCGGTCCTTACGTCCATAGGGTGTACACGTTGGGACGAGTACACGGCCCCTCCCTAAACGCACGCTTTAAATGCCACAGATCTTTCGAACCAGAACTATTCTGCCGTTTCTCAAGTAGGTTCGGAACCAAAGAAAATTCTGCACAAGATAGGCTTGGCCTTATCTCGATCCATCCTGACATAAAACACTTTACTGAGCTGTAGCTGTCCAACCGTCGAGCTGAATGCACGAACAAATGGAGGCAAGACACTGCAGATTTTTTGTAGATTATTATTTCGTGATTTGCTAATTTCGTAATTTGATATGCTGCATCAGGGTGTCCAAACCCTACCCCCCACCCCACCTACCGGGCTGAAATCGTGTCGGATTTTGACGATTTTGGTACCAATCGAAATCCCTCGAAACAGCGAGTCCAGCACCGCTTTCCGCTGTTGGAGCTTCCGGAATTTCTGCAACCTTTACTAATATTTTCGAGAAAAGCTGGACTTTTAAGAACAAAGTGCTATCGTTTTAATCGCAATCCCAGCCCCCTCTAGCCTCATGATATTAACGACTTAGATTCATCATTTAATATTGCTAGTATACTGCACAAATAGTCCAAAAGCCAAAATAGCTAGTTCTTTTACAGTAGGCCAAGTAAGATTGGCGAATTTGGGCATTTTGCAGACAAAACCAGAAGTTCACAGGTCTGTTTCTCGATATTCCTTTGTAATGGGGCTATTTTAATCAGCTTTTTAGAAAGAAGATGACTCAGCGAAGCCGCCGCACACTTAATATAACAACTAAAATAGCTAGTTCTTTTACAGTAGGCCATAGAAGCTTGGCGAATTTGGGCATTTTGCAGAACCAAAACCCAAGTTCACAGGTCTGTTTCTCGATATTCCTTTGTAATGGGGCTATTTTAATCAGCTTTTTAGAAAGAAGATGACTCAGCGATGCCGCCGCACACTTAATATAACAGCTAAAATAGCTAGTTCTTTTACAGTAGGCCAGGTAAGATTGGCGAATTTGGGCATTTTGCAGACAAAACCAGAAGTTCACAGGTCTGTTTCTCGATATTCCTTTGTAATGGGGCTATTTTAATCGGCTTTTAGAAAGAAGATGACTCCAGCGATGCCGCCGCACACTTAATATAACAGCTAAAATAGCTAGTTCTTTTACAGTAGGCCAGGTAAGATTGGCGAATTTGGGCATTTTGCAGACAAAACCAGAAGTTCACAGGTCTGTTTCTCGATATTCCTTTGTAATGGGGCTATTTTAATCAGCTTTTTAGAAAGAAGATGACTCAGCGATGCCGCCGCACACTTAATATAACAGCTAAAATAGCTAGTTCTTTTACAGTAGGCCATAGAAGATTGGCGAATTTGGGCATTTTGCAGACAAAACCAGAAGTTCACAGGTCTGTTTCTCGATATTCCTTTGTAATGGGGCTATTTTAATCAGCTTTTTAGAAAGAAGATGACTCAGCGATGCCGCCGCACACTTAATATAACAGCTAAAATAGCTAGTTCTTTTACAGTAGGCCCTAGAAGATTGGCGAATTTGGGCATTTTGCAGACAGAACCAGAACTTCACAGGTCTGTTTCTCGATATTCCCTTTGTAATGGGGCTATTTTAATCGCTTTTTTAGAAAGAAGATGACTCAGCGATGCCGCCGCACACACTTAATATAACAGCTAAAATAGCTAGTTCTTTTTACAGTAGGCCCGAGGAAGATTGGCGAAATTTGGGCATTTTGCAGACAAAACACAGAATTTCACAGGTCTGTTTCTCGATATTCCTTTGTAATGGGGCTATTTTAATCAGCTTTTTAGAAAGAAGATGACTCAACGATGCCGCCGCACACTTAATATAACAGCCAAAATAGCTAGTTCTTTTTACAGTAGGCCATAGAAGATTGGCGAATTTGGGCATTTTGCAGACAAAACCAGAAGTTCACAGGTCTGTTTCTCGATATTCCTTTGTAATGGGGCTATTTTAATCAGCTTTTTAGAAAGAAGATGACTCAGCGATGCCGCCGCACACTTAATATAACAGCCAAAATAGCTAGTTCTTTTACAGTAGCGCTTAGAAGATTGGCGAATTTGGGCATTTTGCAGACAAAACCAGAAGTTCACAGGTCTGTTTCTCGATATTCCTTTGTAATGGGGCTGTTTTAATCAGCTTTTTAGAAAGAAGATGACTCAGCGATGCCGCCGCACACTAATATAACAGCTAAAATAGCTAGTTCTTTTACAGTAGCGCTTAGAAGATTGGCGAATTTGGGCATTTTGCAGACAAAACCAGAAGTTCACAGGTCTGTTTCTCGATATTCCTTTGTAATGGGGCTGTTTTAATCTGTTTTTTAGAAAGAAGATGACTCAGCGATGCCGCCGCACACTTAATATAACAGCCAAAATAGCTAGTTCTTTTACAGTAGGCCCTGGAAGATTGGCGAATTTGGGCATTTTGCAGACAAAACCAGAAGTTCACAGGTCTGTTTCTCGATATTCCCTTGTAATGGGGCTATTTTAATCTGTTTTTTAGAAAGAAGATGACTCAGCGATGCCGCCGCACACTTAATATAACAGCCAAAATAGCTAGTTCTTTTACAGTAGCGCTTAGAAGATTGGCGAATTTGGGCATTTTGCAGACAAAACCAGAAGTTCACAGGTCTGTTTCTCGATATTCCTTTGTAATGGGGCTGTTTTAATCTGTTTTTTAGAAAGAAGATGACTCAGCGATGCCGCCGCACACTTAATATAACAGCCAAAATAGCTAGTTCTTTTACAGTAGCCCCTAGAAGATTGGCGAATTTGGGCATTTTGCAGACAAAACCAGAAGTTCACAGGTCTGTTTCTCGATATTCCTTTGTAATGGGGCTGTTTTAATCTGTGATTCGAAAGAAGATGACTCAACGATGCCGCCGCACACTTAATATAACAGCCAAAATAGCTAGTTCTTTTACAGTAGCGCCTAGAAGATTGGCGAATTTGGGCATTTTGCAGACAAAACCAGAAGTTCACAGGTCTGTTTCTCGATATTCCTTTGTAATGGGGCTGTTTTAATGCTGTATTAGAAAGAAGATGACTCAGCGATGCCGCCGCACACTTAATATAACAGCCAAAATAGCTAGTTCTTTTACAGTAGCGCTTAGAAGATTGGCGAATTTGGGCATTTTGCAGACAAAACCAGAACTTCACAGGTCTGTTTCTCGATATTCCTTTGTAATGGGGCTACTTTAATCTGTTTTTAGAAAGAAGATGACTCAGCGATGCCGCCGCACACTTAATATAACAGCCAAAATAGCTAGTTCTTTTACAGTAGCGCTTAGAAGATTGGCGAATTTGGGCATTTTGCAGACAAAACCAGAAGTTCACAGGTCTGTTTCTCGATATTCCTTTGTAATGGGGCTGTTTTAATCTGTTTTTAGAAAGAAGATGACTCAGCGATGCCGCCGCACACTTAATATAACAGCCAAAATAGCTAGTTCTTTTACAGTAGCGCTTAGAAGATTGGCGAATTTGGGAATTTTGCAGACAAAACCAGAAGTTCACAGGTCTGTTTCTCGATATTCCTTTGTAATGGGGCTGTTTTAATCTGTTTTTCGAAAGAAGATGACTCAGCGATGCCGCCGCACACTTAATATAACAGCCAAAATAGCTAGTTCTTTTACAGTAGCGCTTAGAAGATTGGCGAATTTGGGCATTTTGCAGACAAAACCAGAAGTTCACAGGTCTGTTTCTCGATATTCCTTTGTAATGGGGCTGTTTTAATCTGTTTTTAGAAAGAAGATGACTCAGCGATGCCGCCGCACACTTAATATAACAGCCAAAATAGCTAGTTCTTTTACAGTAGCGCTTAGAAGATTGGCGAATTTGGGCATTTTGCAGACAAAACCAGAACTTCACAGGTCTGTTTCTCGATATTCCTTTGTAATGGGGCTGTTTTAATCTGTTTTTTAGAAAGAAGATGACTCAGCGATGCCGCCGCACACTTAATATAACAGCCAAAATAGCTAGTTCTTTACAGTAGCGCTTAGAAGATTGGCGAATTTGGGCATTTTGCAGACAAAACCAGAAGTTCACAGGTCTGTTTCTCGATATTCCTTTGTAATGGGGCTGTTTTAATGCTGTTGTTTTGAAAGAAGATGACTCAGCGATGCCGCCGCACACTTAATATAACAGCCAAAATAGCTAGTTCTTTTACAGTAGCGCTTAGAAGATTGGCGAATTTGGGAATTTTGCAGACAAAACCAGAAGTTCACAGGTCTGTTTCTCGATATTCCTTTGTAATGGGGCTGTTTTAATCTGTTTTTTAGAAAGAAGATGACTCAGCGATGCCGCCGCACACTTAATATAACAGCCAAAATAGCTAGTTCTTTTACAGTAGCGCTTAGAAGATTGGCGAATTTGGGCATTTTGCAGACAAAACCAGAAGTTCACAGGTCTGTTTCTCGATATTCCTTTGTAATGGGGCTGTTTTAATGATGTGATTCGAAAGAAGATGACTCAGCGATGCCGCCGCACACTTAATATAACAGCCAAAATAGCTAGTTCTTTTACAGTAGCGCTT